ACTGTGAAAACACCACATTATTGTAGTTCAAATATCATAGTTCATATGCCAAACTTGATGTACATGTGTATGCGATTTTTGTGCAAGTGAATGATGTCACCATCACTTGCAAAAAAGGAAAAAAATGCAAATAAATATCTTGTGTTCAACTTCATTTGTCTTCTTTACGCTTACAAAGTATACATGTACATAATTTTTCAAACATGTATAACAATATGATGATGTAGTATGATTGCCAATGAGACAATGATTTACATGTATGACTATCATTGGAAGGCCACTCTATAATATCTTTGTACATCATGAGAATGGAAATGCTACCTTTGTAGCATAAAGGTAGCATAATGTAAAAAAAGGGAAAATGTTCATTTATTCAACAACACTCCTGTGAATATATAACTTGACAGTACTAAAGGCAAAATATTTCGTTTCACAAATTCCTTCCTCTCCTCGGAAAATAACATATTTTATTGTTTACATGAAATGACAAAATGTGTAGAATAAGAAGCAAGAAATGTTCACTCCACTTGTACACTACTAGTCGCTCATATTAGTCATCATCTACATGTATGTTTGTTTCAGTCCTTTAGCAATGGTGCTTGTTTATATTTATCTGTTGTGTTGTGTTGTTTCAGTTTAACATGTCCTCATTCTGTGATCACTGTTTCACCTCACCTATTTTGAAAAATGTTTATGCAAATATTTTCTGCAATAAATTGAAAAGGCACAGCTGCTATGACTATTCAGAAATGTGAGGTATATGTCAATGAGACAACAACCCAACGACAAAAATATTCTTTGCACATCTATGAATGTTTAAGAATTCTTGTGGAGGTCAAAAGCACATAACGTGTACTTATATATTGGTGACCTGGTACATGTATGTACCTATTGATGCATTCCGTCCTAAACACAAATTGTGTGAATGGACCAAGCAGTTTATATGCTTATAAAAAAACTGATATTAAAATGAATTCCTGTATAACAAATTCCGGGAATGAGAGACTATTGTATTTAAACCAGATGATATATTAGTGGTAAAGGTTTAAACAGAAGCAGATGTCAAGGGGCAATACAAAAAGTACAAGGTCATGTAATACAGATAAAAAAAATGACAAATGAAAAGAAAATAACAGCCCATATAGCACTGCACCGAAACATAAACCCACAAAAGATCAGATAAAACTTGTCTACAATTTTAAATCTTTCTAATTTCAAACTCGAGTTTCACTACCCGATAGGAAAGAGTAAAGATAAGGATGTTGCAGTACTTCTGTGGTCTATGAAACAGAACATTAAAATTCTACAGTTCAGCAGAGCATTTTACTGTACTTATGATACACATTGTTTTTAATCAGAGTCTGTGATATTTGGTCTATAAAAAACTACAAATAATGACAGATTCATATTCAATATTTCATGACAGCAAAAATAGTGATTTCGACAACACTGTACATAATGTACGTTCATTTAGGAAATTCATGCAAAGGTTCCACAATTAATGTATTTGTAGGTCAATCAAAAATTAATCATTTAAATCCGTTTTCCACGAGACATAATTCTATTGGCTACATATTTTTTTTATATAAAAAAGTTGCTTTCTGATTTCTTTTTTTTGACATGTTAAATGACTATTTTTGTTCCTGATTGAATACTATAGTAGAATGTAGGACAGTAAGTCACAGGACAAAAAGTCACGGACAAAAAGTCAGGGACGAAAAGTCACAGGACAAAAAGTCAATTCAGTTTTGAGATTATTTTTCTCTGAACAAGAAAACACTAATTTTAAAAATAATTTTTTGATTTTTTATTGAACTATAATATATGAAGCAACTTTGTAATTAAAATTTATTCAATAAATATCAATGATGATCAAATAATTGTTATGATAACAAAATGTCAAAGTGGTTTGGCACTTAAATGGCTTCATGGTACCAAGAAATATATTATTTGCATGATTAAAATTTAATAATTTTTTATTTATCAAGGCTTATGAACAATTTCCTGAACTTAAAAATGAATAAATGTAAAAAAAGATATTATTTGAAGATCTTTCTCTTATATATTCAAACAATTGTCAATAAATTATTTGTGACTTTTTGTCCTATCCAATTTGTGACTATGTCCTGTGACTTTTTGTACTGTGACTTTCTGTCCGTTTACCCTATTCATAGACTATGTCCTGTGACTTTTTGTACTGTGACTTTCTGTCCGTTTACCCTATTCATAGTATAGCCCAGTGTTTCTGTTAAAATAAAGTTCTGGTCATGGTTAAAATAATGTCAGAATTTGTTTGGTTGTAAAAACAATTACCAAGTAATAATCCACATAGAACTTCACCTCCGGCAAAATTCAGGTGATCGAAGGGCAATAAATTGCGTAATCACACACCTGTGAATTCACAGTCACAACTCTAAGGAAATAATGACCGGAAAATCGGACACACATAATTTCACTGTGTAATTTAGAAGCAAACTTTAGCAAAGGAATGTTTCTTGTAATATCATGATCATTACCAGATTTTACTTTTTAAATTAAAAGAAATGCCGAAAAAAGAAAAAAATATTTTCTCAATCAAATACATTAAAAAAAATACAACTATTTCAAGTAGTTTTTCAGAAAAAGAATTTATTTGATCTGAAATAAGTTTTCCTATCACTTTTCTTGATTAGTTATCGAGGTTATTCATCCCTGACTTGTCTACATGTTGTAGAATAATTATCGACGAGAATCTCATTCCTGGCCGCGTTTTTTAACGGGATTTCATGGAGTTGCCAATCTCTGTGTATATATGTCTCTGGTATTACTGTCAAATTTAATGACCTAGTTAATAGGTAAAAGAAGGCTAAAATTTTCAGTTTTGACAAAATTCAGATAGATACCTATAATTTAGATATTTAAATTTGACAGCAATAAACCAAATTACCAAATAACCTGTTTTTTGTAAGAATAATATATAATAAAGATAGCTATAGATTTGGATGAAAATCCAAGTTGCTTTGAAATAATCTAAAGTGTACTATCTGAATATAGTCCAAATTGCAAATTCTAGCTTTTTTGACCTAGATTAATTTAATCCTTAAATTTGACAGCAATACACCAAACTACATAATGACCTATGATTCAGTAAGATCAATATATTACTAAGATAGCTGTATAGTTTGATGAATTTAATCCTAGTTGATTTGAAAAAGTTATAAAAAAAATTAAAGTGTACTATCTCTATTTTGTCTGAACTGCAAATCCTAGCTTTTTGGACCTAGATTAATTTAATTCTTAAATTTGACAGCAATACACCAAACTTCTTAACAACCTGGGATTCAGTAAGATTAATATATTACCAAGGTAGCTGTAAAGTTAGATGAAAATCTAAGTTGATTTGAAAAAGTTATAAAAAGAATTAAAGTGTACTATCTGAATATAGTCCAAACTGCAAATTCAACCTTTTTTTACCTAGATTAATTTAATTCTTAAATTTGACAGCAATACACCAAACTACATAATGACCTGTGATTCAGTAAGATCAATATATTACTAACATAGCTGCGTAGTTTGATAAAAATCCAAGTTGATTTGAAAAAGTTATAAAAAAAATTAAAGTGTACTATCTGAATTTTGTCCAAAATTGCAAATCCTAGCTTTTTTGACCTAGATTAAATTTGACAGCAATACACCAAACTACATAATGACATTTGATTCAGTAAGATCAATATATTACCAAGGTAGCTGTATAGTTTGATGAAAATCCAAGTTGATTTGAAAAGTTATAAAAAGATTTAAAGTGTACTATCTGAATATAGTCCGAACTGCAATTTCTAGCTTTTTTTACCTAGATTAATTTAATCCTTAAATTTGGCAGCAATACACCAAACTACATAATGACCTATGATTCAGTAAGATCAATATATTACTAAGATAGATCTATAGTTTGATGAATTTAATCCTAGTTGATTTGAAAAAGTTATAAAAAAAATTAAAGTTCACTATCTGAATATAGTCCGAACTGCAAATTCAATCTTTTTTGACCTAGATTAATTTAATTCTTAAATTTGACAGCAATACACAAAACTACATAATGACCTGTGATTCAGTAAGAATAATATATTACTAATATAGCTGCATAGTTTGATAAAATCCAAGTTGATTTGAAAAAGATATAAAAAAAATTAAAGTGTACTATCTGAATTTTGTCCAAAATTGCAAATCCTAGCTTTTTATACGACCGCAAAAAAATTTTTGTGGTCGTATATTGGTATGACGTTGGCGTCATCGTCGTCATCGTCGTCCGAAGACACATTAGTTTTCGCACTCTAACTTTAGTTTAAGTGAATGGATCTCAATGAAATTTTACCATAAGGTTCAATACCACAAAAGGATGGTGGGGATTGATTTTGGGGGTTATGGTACCAACAGTTAAGGAATTAGGGGCCAAAAAGGGGCCAAAAATAAGCATTTTTGTAACTTCCAGACATAACTTGTGTGTAAGTGTATGGATCTCTCTGACATTGTGCCACAAGGTTCCATATCACAAAGGGAATGCTGGGATTGATTTTGGGGGTAATTGCCTCAAAATTGTAGGAATTGGGGGCCAAAAAGGGGCAAAAAACAAGCATTTTTCTAGTTTCATGACAATAACTTGTGTGTAAGTCTATGGATCTCTCTGACATTGTATCACAAGGTTCCATATCACAAAGGGAATGCTGGGATTGATTTTGGGGGTAATTGCCTCCAAATTTTTAGAAATAGGGGCAAAAAAGGGGCAAAAAACAAGAATTTTTCTAGTTTCATGACAATAACTTGTGTGTAAGTGTATGGATCTTTATGAAATTGTACTACAAGGTTCCATATCACAAAGGGAAAGCTGGAATTGAGTTTGGGGGTAATTGCCCAAAAAGTTTAGTAATAAGGGGCCAAAAAGGGGCCAAAAATAAGCATTTTTCTAGTTTCCAGACAATAACTTGTGTTCAAGTGTATGGATCTCTCTGAAATTGTACTGTAAGGTACCATATCACAAAGGGAAGGCTGGGATTGATTTTGGGGGTAATTCCCTCAAAATTTTAGTAATTAGGGGCCATAAAAGGGCAAAAAAACAAGCATTTTTCTAGTTTCAGGACAATAACTTGTGTGTAAATGTATGGATCTTTATGAAATTGTACTGCAAGGTTCCATATCACAAAGGGAAAGCTGGGTTTGAGTTTGGGGGTAATTGCCCTAAACGTTTAGGAATTTGGGGCCAAAAAGGGGCCAAAAAACAAGCATTTTTCTAGGTTCCAGACAATAACTTGTGTTCAAGTGTATGGATCTCTCTGAAATTGTACTGCAAGGTACCATACCACAAAGGGAAGGCTGGGATTGAGTTTGGGGGTGATGAATCCTAAGGGGGTTCAAAAAATTTTCCATTTTAAATTGGTTATTTCTGATTTATATATAAAAGCAAATAATAATGATATGATATGAAAGTTCTTAGACCACTTTCATTCTGTGTAAGAAACCTATGCTGTGTCAAATATTTAATTACAATCCAAATTCAGTGCTGTATCAAGCTTGAATGTTGTCTCCATACTTGCCCCAACTGTTCAGGGTTCGACCTCTGCGGTCGTATCAAGCTGCGCCCCAGCGTAGCATTTTATTTTACCTAGATTAAATTTGACAGCAATACACCAAACTACATAATGACCTTTGTGACAGTAAGATCAATATATTACCAAGGTAGCTGTATAGTTTGATGAAAATCCAAGTTGATTTGAAAAAGTTATAAAAAGATTTAAAGTGTACTATCTGAATATAGTCAGAAATGCAAATTCAAGCTTTTTTTACCTAGATTAATTTAATCCTTAAATTTGACAGCAATACACCAAACTACATAATGACCTATGATTCAGTAAGAATAATATATTACTAAGATAGCTGTATAGTTTGATGAATTTAATCCTAGTTGATTTGAAAAAGTTATAAAAAAAATTAAAGTGTACTATCTGAATATAGTCCGAACTGCAAATTCAATCTTTTTTTACCTAGATTAATTTAATTCTTAAATTTGACAGCAATACACCAAACTACATGACCTATGATTCAGTAAGATCAATATATTACTAAGATAGCTGTATAGTTTGATGAAAATCCTAGTTGATTTGAAAAAGTTATAAAAAAAATTAAAGTGTACTATCTCTATTTTGTCCGAACTGTAATCCTAGCTTTTTTGACCTAGATTACTTCTTAACAACCTGGGATTCAGTAAGATTAATATATTACCAAGGTAGCTGTTTAGTTAGATGAAAATCCAAGTTGATTTGAAAAAGTTATAAAAAAAATAAAGATGCCTATCTGAATTTAATCGTTTTTTTTTACTTATTAATTAAATTCTTTCATTTCACAGCAATGAATCAATCTAACAAATAAACTGGAATTTTGTAAGATCTTTATTTAATTTAGTTAGATGGGCTGATCAATACCAGTGAAGACTAAATTTGAAGGTCCAGACTAGTCGAGACAGGTCGAGACTGGTTAAGACTGAGTCGAGACTAGTCAAGACAGGTCGAGACTGGTTGAGACAGGTCGAGACTGGTCGAGCTTTGGTCGAGACCATTTCAGACTATACCAAGTACTGAATCAGACTAATTAAGTAAAGTCGAGACCTAGTCGAGTACAATTAAGTACAGTTAAGTACTGTCGAGACAATGTCGAGACTAGTCGAGTAAAATGTGTGCTCGACTTTACTGGTCGAGCACAAAAACTGGTCTTTTCAGACTCTGAGCAGTTTGTAGTGACACTAACTCCAGTATTCCTGGATTGATTTCCTCCAAACTTTCCATTATTGTGAGGATTGATGAAAGGAACCTTCCTTGCGATTTTTTGAATTTTTTGTCACACAGTGTTCACCTGACCTTGACCCCATTTCTTGGATCGGTAATTAAGGTTTAGTTTTCGTTATCAATATAGAAATAAGGAAATGTGGTATGATTACCATTGAAACAACTTTCCACCTGATTTCAAATGAAGTGGATGTAAACAATTATAGGAAACAGTACGGCCTTCAACAATGAGAAAAACCCATACAGTAGACTCAGCTTTAAAAGGCCCTGACATGTATAATGTGAAACGGCCTAATTTATAACAAAAAAAATTATGAAAAACAAATATGACAGACATGAACCACTGAAAACCACTGAACTATAGGCTCCTGACTTGGGACAGGCACATAATGAATGTGGCTGGGTTAAACATAGTCTTCTGAGACTATCAGAATTCACCAGTTAGATGCACACATTTTGATTCTCAATAGCTTGTAATAGTAGGAATTTGTTTTTTTATTATTTTTTAGCTGTAAATAAAGCATATAAAACCTTAGAAAATGAAGAAGGTTATAAAAGATGTAAAGAAATAGTGGAAGAGGCCAAGACAAGAACAGAGGACATGGTTAGTATATTGATGATGTTGATATTACTTGACATGTTTGTACTTCAACAACTAAGGACTAAAAGTATATTATAGTGTTGGCCTTGGTATTTATCAAAGGAAAACTGTATTGCCCCATTGAGACCAAAAGGTAGAGGGTCAGACCATGATTGTATACTAGATAGTTAATAACTTTTTTATAAGATAACAAGTGGAACTGCATGATATTCAGAAAAATTGGAAAATTGTCTATTTCAATGATTTGACATAATTGCTTATATCCACATCATTTGAATTCTTGTGGATAGTTATCTCATTAGCAATCATACCACATTTTGTTTGTCTTGTTTTAAATGTGAATGAACATTGGAATGAAGTAATGCCTTGCTTTATGTAATTTGAAATCAACAAAAACAACACCTAATGCTAAAATGCATGACAATATTTCTGACAATTAAGGAATAAACAGCTGAATAGTTTTGAGTTATGATTCACTTTTCAATATCAAGTTTCTATATGGATTTGACAGATATTTTATTATACTTCTGCCAGTCAACCAATAAAATTTTCTATTATTGTTTTGACAAAATGTTGGTATGAGGCTGCACCCCCTTTTGTTTTGGCTCACCTGGCCCAAAGGCATCCATCTTCTGTTGATTTTTAAAGATCTTCTCTTCTTAATCTATTGAATCAATTTCAACCAAACTTGGTACTAAACCCCTAACTGAAGGGATTGTACTTGATTTTCATATGATGAAGACATAATCTTTCAATCAGTTTAATTGAGGTCTGGAGCTGGCATGTCAGTAACTGCTAGTAGTCCTTTGTTCATTTATGTATCATTGTCATTTTGCTTAGTTTCTTTTGTTACCTATTCTGACATTGGACTCGGACTTCTTTTAAACTGAGTTTTACTGTGCGTATTGCTATGTGTTTCTTTATTCTACATTGGCTAGAGGTATAGGGGGAGGGTTGAGATCTCACAAAACATGTTTAACCCGCCACATTTTTGCGCCTGTCCCAAGTCAGGAGCCTCTGGCCTTTGTTAGTCTTGTATGTTTTTTTAATTTTAGTTCATTTATATGTTTTGGAGTTTAGTGTGACATCCATTTTCACTGAGCTAGTACACAATGTTATTTAGGGGCAGTTGAGGACCACCTCCGGGTGCGGGATTTTCTCGCTGCATTGAAGACCCATTGGTGGCCCTCGGCTGTTGTCTGCTCTTTTGTCGGGTTGTTGTCTCTTTGACATATTCCCCATTTCCATTCTCAATTTTATTGGGGTGATCAATCCTTATGGTATTTAATATAAAGTTGGTGAGTTTTTTCTTGTCAGGGAGCATACATGGCTGACATGGCTAAAAAAAGGACAAGGGTCAAATGCATTGTCATATCTTAAAATCCTTAATAGGCAGAGAAAATATTATGAGAGCAAAAATTCTTAGAATGTCAAAATCTAATTACTCCCTGTTTGCACCAAAGTTATCAGATTACTCCTTAATTGATGATTTTGGGCTAATTTTCATGTTTTTGCCTATAAACTCAAAAACTATATAAAATGGGTAAAAACTGTAATACGATCAGAAATACAGGATATACATACAAAAAAAGCTGATATGAAGGAAACCATTGGATGAGACCTTATAAGAGTTGTTGCCCTGAAAAAATTGACTAATGTTTGGGGTAAAGATTGCATTCATTCAATCTAAACCCTTAAGTGGCTGGCCTGGTAGTTTTTAATCTTCCAGATTTTATCACTACTTTTGATATACACAAAACATTGAGCACAACATTCTATACATCCTACCTATTAACATTTCAAGAAATTTATCAATGAAATATATACTCAGATATTCAAGTTACAAAATGATGTATTTGTGTATAACTATACTTGTCTAGAAGTTATTGCCCGTAAATGAAAAGTTTTTAGTGTTTTTGCCTATGAGGTAAGTTCTTGAAAAACTTTAATAGATATATAGAAACTTTTAAAAGCCAAAAAAGGTCAGCAGGATATGATCCACAATATGTCAAGATGGCTGAAATTGTAGTCAACTCTTTATATGAATTAGTGCCCATTAATGATGACTTTAGCTTTTTGGGGAATACTTTGACATATAATAAAAAACTGTAATTTGCAAAAATGATCGCTTAAACAACATCTACAAATAGATGAACATAGCCCAAATTGTGGGATAACTCTTTTTTAGAGTTATTGCCCTTAAAAGACAATCTTTTTTCTACCGTACCCATTTTTTGTATTATGGGCAACAACTATTATATATAGAGAGAAGCTGTTCTCATTAAAAATTATCATAAAGACATGATCAACAGAACAGAGATTTGAGTCATGGATTATGTTCCAGTCTACAATGTTCGAGAGTGCAGTTGAAGATGCACATAGATCGAGGTGAGGGACACAGGCTATGAAGAGCCTCTAGTTTTGCCCACCTGGCACAAAGGGTCTTAGGTTCTGAAGAGTCTCTTGTTCATGTAAACTTTGAACAACTTTATCTCAGTTTATTTATGTCACACACTGATTTAAAACATTAACCATTTGTTTTTCAGAGATATATATCTATCTTTTAAAACATGGTAAAATTGTTATATTTCAGATGAAACAAAAAAGAAAACAATTAAAGAAAGAAGGAAAACCAATTATTATACCAGAAGATGATACAGAACAGGTTAGAGTTCAAACTGATTATTTCCAAACATAGAACTTAAATCAATGATAATTGCTTGCATTATAAGAGCAAAACTATTTATTGCTTATTAGGGCAAACTGTTTGCCATATAACGGTTTAACTTTAAATTGAAATACACTTGTGATCTGTATGAAGTTAATTTGTCTTCTTCTTTGTGCTCTTCATTAATGTGAATGCACAAAACAAATATATATTTAGCAAATTACACCCATATGGGTCAAGCAAAAAAAAAAAAAAATAACGCAATTTTAACAAAATATTCAAGAATTACAAGTTTAAACATATTAAAAACAGAAGCATAGTTATGTTGATGAAATTTTTGATGTTCATGGACCTCATTTTAGCAACTTTAAAGATTGCTTTATAAAGTCATCCACTACTGTCAAAAGTTCAGATTTGGGATTTAAATGTTCTAGCTTGAACTGTGGTTTAGTATCTGTAAAACCAGGTTTTATAGTATTGATTTATAAAAATAACTGATCTCTTAAAGTTAAGCTCAGTTCACACTCTAGAAAAAAATGATATTCATCATCAAGTTTATTACAAAATTTACAAAATGTATATTTTTATATCTTCCCATTTCAACTTCTAGGTTATGGTCACTTACCAGAAATTTAGATATTAACTTTCTGGTTTTAAAATTTGATTCTTTTATTGCGAACCAAATGATACTTTTCCACAAATTCACTTGAAGGTTACCTGTTGATTTAAACTTTTGCAAGATAATTTTTTTACTCAGGTAAATTAAACAATGAGTCATAGATTTCTCCTAGAAGAAATTTAAAGGTCCCAGTGAATAAACTACACAGAGAACAATAGCTATTGTATTTATTCAATGGGACAAAAGAACTTGCAAAAGTTTAAATCGACAGGTAACCTTCAAGTCAATCTGTGGAAAAGTATCTATTTTTTTTGTTGTTCATATTGTGTCATAATCATTGCATGACTACAAATCCTGATTGATTCCAATTTTACCATTTTACCATTTGGTTTAGGTAAATTTATATTTATATTTGATTATGTTTTTAATACTAGTAAATTGATGGATCATGTCATAGTTTAAGGTTGGTGGTTCTCTCCAGGCATTCTGGTTTCCTCCACCAAAAATCTGAATGCCACAAAATAGCACAACTATAAACACCAATCAATCAATCAATCAATCAATCAATCAATCATAGTTAATTGCTACTGTTACTCAGAAAAGAATTTATTCAGAAATATATGTTGTGGAAATGATTGTCATGTACCGTAGAAAGGCTTGTATAGTCCGCGGTTTTATTCTCCAAAATTGGACCTTCCAGACGGGGTGCGGACTATAGAGTACAACAAGCAAGAAATAAGAGAAAAAATTCAATTTCGCGGTCGAGGTGGTTTGTTTACGTTCCGCCATCTTTGTTATTTCTATTGTAGAGGGCGCTCTTATCATTTTTCAAACTAATAATTTTAACTCATCCATATTAATAAGTTATTTCTATTCAATATCAAATTAATACTGATAAATATAAAAACTTAACCTTTCATTACAAATTTCTCGTTTCTTTTCAATGCATTGGTTGAAATAAACTGGTATCTGCTCGATTGAAACGATACAAACATAGTGAAAAAGACAACCGTAAACCAGCTTAGAATTTGTAAACTACAAAACGAAATCGGTTATTGTTCGTTCCGTTTTGGTGTTTCATACTGACTTATATGGTTTGTATTAGCTTAAGACCCTTCAAACATTAATGTGATAGATATATTAAAGACTGTTTTACAAAAGGATGGAACTGTTTTACTTTCAAAGTCGTATTATAGTGATATCTGTTATGTACGGATTTCGACTCTCACCGGTTAATTTCTTCTTTTACACGTGCTTTTTAAACTTCCTGTTTAAACATACACAAGTTTCTAAATTGTTTTTTAAGTGAATTAAACTTATTTTAACAATCATGAAGCGTTCTAGAATCATTAACAAGCAGTTTCAGCTTCTGTTTGATGATGGAAAACAGGTTTTTCCAAGAAAATACTGTAAACGACCGCACAGGATTTGAAATTACCGGAGTTTCATTAGACCTTTTCTAACAGTTACAAAAAGTTTTTTTACCTAAAATTTCGTGGGGAGAAGGGGGTGCGGACTATGTACCACTGCGAACTATACAAGCCTTTCTACGGTAATTCCCTTGAACGATAATGGTTTAATAGCGTACCAATGCATAAACTAAGGCATGGTTGATGAAGCTTGTTATTTAACATAGCTTTCATTGTTCTGTAAGCTGAAAGATCTGACAAGAAATTCTAAACTCTAAAGGGACATTAGTAACATATAGTACCTTGTAGAGAAACTAAAACACTTTGGCAGGGAAAGCTAAACAACATTTTACATAAGACACATTGGAAAGTGAACAGAAAATTTCTTTTGAAATAAATATGCCTCTATCTTCATAAAGGTGTGTACATCCAAAACAATTTACATTTCTATTTGATAGAATTACAATTCTTTTGATGTTTATTCCATATACTGTTTAATGAAGGTTGTTTTCCATTTAATCAATTTTGAATTCTATTATGCCCATTACAGGGTGTCAGTTGAGATACTGAGAAACTCATATTTATCAAAAAGACTGCAGGCAAGCAAGATTTAAGGGATTGAATCAGGCCAATCTTGATAGTCTCTATCATGTCTATCTAAGCATGCTTATGGGAATATTCAGACTTCCTTGATTGATTAATTTGAATTTTTGTGCAACTGCAAATATATAAAGTAATATATTGGTTCAAGGTTTTAGTCTGTTTTGACATGATGACAGTAGATGTGATGTTGGATATAACATTTCTTTTTGGCGATTGTTGCGAAAGCGAGACATAGCGATCCTAGATTCCCTTGGCAGCGGTGTCATCATTTATGTTCAGTCTGTTGTCCAAATTTTTTTAGACACCAATAACTTTGTCAAACCTTCATGGAATTTTAGAAAATTTGGACAGAAGCTTGTTTATGATGGAAACAGTATCCAGAGCAAAATTTTAAAAATGTTTATTTCCATTTTTTTACGTATTTTACTGATAAATGGACTTAGTTTTTTAGCTCACCTGGCCCGAAGGGCCAAGTGAGCTTTTCTCATCACTTGGCGTCCGTTGTCCGTCGTCCGGCGTCGTCCGTCGTCGTCCGGTGTCGGCGTTAACTTTTTACATTTTGAACTTCTTCTAGAGAACCACTGAATGGAATGAAACCAAACATGGCATAAATGTTCCTTATGAGGTGCTGACCAAGTGTTGTTACTTTGTAGCCGATCCATCATCCAAGATGGCCGCCAGCGGGGGACTTAGTTTAACATAGGACCCTATGGGAAATGCATACAAATGACTTCTTTTAGAGAACCACTGAATGGAATGAAACCAAACATGGCATGAATGTTCCTTATGAGATGCTGACCATGTGCTGTTACTTTGTAGCCGATCCATCATCCAAGATGGCCTCCATCGGGGAACATAGTTTAACATAGGACCCTATGGGAAATACATACAAATGTCTTCTTTTAGAGAACCACTGAATGGAATTAAACCAAACATGGCATGAATGTTCCTTATGAGGTGCTGACCAAGTGTTGTTACTTTGTAGCCGATCAATCATCCAAGATGGCCGCCAGCGGGAGACTTAGTTTAACATAGGACCCTATGGGAAATACATAAAAATGTCTTCTTTTAGAGAACCACTGAATGGAATGGAACCAAACATGGCATGAATGTTCCTTATGAGGTGCTGACCAAGTGTTGTTACTTTGCAGTCGGTCCATCATCCAAGATGGCCACCAGCGGGGGACTTAGTTTAACATAGGACCCTATGGGAAATACATACAAATGTCTTCTTTTAGAGAACCACTGAATGGAATGAAACCAAACATGGCATGAATGTTCCTTATGAGGTGCTGACCAAGTGTTGTTATTTTGCAGTCGGTCCATCATCCAAGATGGCCAACAGCGGGGGACTTAGTTTAACATAGGACCTATGGGAAATACATACAAATGTCTTCTTTTAGAGAACCACTGAATGGAATGAAACCAAACATGGCATGAATGTTCCTTATGAGGTTCTGACCAAGTGTTGTTACTTTGTAGTCGATTCATCATCCAAGATGGCCGCCAGCGGGGGACTTAGTTTAACATAGGACCCTATGGGAAATACATACAAATGTCTTCTTTTAGAGAACCACTGAATGGAATGGAACCAAACATGGCATGAATGTTCCTTATGAGATGCTGACCAAGTGTTGTTACTTTGCAGTCGGTCCATCATCCAAGATGGCCACCAGCGGGGGACTTAGTTTAACATAGGACCTATGGGAAATACATACAAATGTCTTCTTTTAGAGAACCACTGAATGGAATGAAACCAAACATGGCATGAATGTTCCTTATGAGGTTCTGACCAAGTGTTGTTACTTTGTAGTCGATTCATCATCCAAGATGGCCGCCAGCGGGGGACTTAGTTTAACATAGGACCCTATTGGGAAAACATACAAATGACTTCTTTTAGAGAACCACTGAATGGAATGAAACCAAACATGGCATGAATGTTCCTTATGAGATGCTGACCAAGTGTTGTTACTTTGTAGCCGATCCATCATCCAAGATGGCCGCCAGCGGGGGACTTAGTTTAACATAGGACCCTATGGGAAATACATACAAATGTCTTCTTTTAGAGAACCACTGAGTGGAATGAAACCAAACATGGCATGAATGTTCCTTATGAAGTGCTGACCAAGTGTTGTTACTTTGCAGTCAATCATTATTTGGGTATCTGTTATGATTTTTATCTATCTTTACATGATTTCTAAAACCAAAGTAGAGTCAGGTGAGCGACACAGGCTCTTGAGAGCCTCTAGTTTGTCTTGCCTGCATAAAGCGAGACATAGTGATTGCTTTTCCGGCGACGGCTGCGTTGACAGTGTCAACAATTGTTAAGTTTTCTGCTTAAGTTAGTTTGATAGGAACTACTTGTGATAGATTATTGATATTTTGTATGAAGATTCATTACTATCAGTACAATATCAGTTTGACAACAATTTTGAGGCCCTGTCCCCTGACTATGGTCCAGTGACTTTGAATTAATTAGCAATTTTAAATGTTACCTTTTCTGCTTAAGTTAGATTGATAGGAACTACTTGTGATAGATCAATGATATTTTGTATGAAGTTGCATCACTATCAGTACATATCAGTTTGACGACAATTTTGAGGACCTGCCCCTAGGCCATGGTCCAATGACTTTGATTTAATTAGCCATTTTCAATGTTAAGTTTTCTGCTTAAGTTAGTTTGATAGGAATTACATGTGATAGATCAATGCTATATTGTATGAAGTTGCATTACTATCAGTAAGTATCAGTTTGACAACTATTTTGAGGCCCTGCCCCCTAGGCCATGGTCCAGTGACTTTGAATTAATAAACCATTTTAAATGTTAAGTTTTCTGCTTAAGTTAGGTTGATGAGAACTACTGGTGATAGATCAATGATATTTTGTGTGAAGTTGCACTGCTATCAGTACATATCAGTTTGACGACTATTTTGAGGCCCTGCCCCCTAGGACATGGTTCAGTGACTTTCAATTAATGAGCAATTTTCAATGATAAGTTTTCTGCTTTAGTTAGTTTAATATGAAATACTTGCGATAGATCAATGATATATTCTATAAAGTTGCATTACTATCAGTACATATCAGTTTGACGACTATTTTTAGGCCCTGCCCCCTAGGCCATGGTCCAGTGACTTTGAATTAATTAACAATTTTCAATGTTAAGTTTTATGATTAAGGTAGTTTGATAGGAACTACTTACAATAGACAATATTTTCTAAGTTACATTGCTGTCTGTACATCTCAGTTTGTCAACCATTTTGAGGCCCTACCCACTAGTTGGTCCAGCGACTTTGAATTGATTAGCAATGTTGCTGTCCATCAGATTGTCTTTTTCTGAATTTTATGCCAACAGGCGAGAAATATCTCTGTGTCAACAGTTTATTTACAGTTAACATTCAGATTTAGTCTGAGGTTAAAGTTTTCAGTCATCAAAAACTTTGTCAAACCTTCATGTAATTCTAGGCAATCTGGACAGAAGCTTAGTTATGACAAAAATACAGTATTCAGAGCAAATTTTGAAAATATTTATTTTCATTTTTCTGTATTTAACTAATAAATGGACTTAATTTTTTTTAAATTTAACAAATAGATACAGTCCGGGGTTTAAGTTTGTTACACATCAATTGCTTAATCAAACCTTCATAGAACTTTATAAAACTTTGGCAGAAGCTTTTTTATGATTAAGAGATTATGTCTCAATCAAAGTTTTGAAAATATGTTTTTTTCATTTTCAGTATAGATGGAGTTTTTACAGTAACGGTAACATTTACAGACAGGCTGGCATTAAACTTTTTTGACATGATAAATTTTTAAATCTTCATGGATTGTTATGAAACTTGGACAGAAGCTAATGTTCAAGACCATGAAATAGCATCTTAAAAAAAGTTTGATTTTTTTTAAAATTCTGTATTTTACTGATAAATGGACTCACTTTTTAAGTCAACATTACACTTTTACACTGACAGCAGCAATCCCAGGCGAGACACAGGCTTCCGCAGAACCCCTTTTGTTTTACGATTTTTTTAAAGAATTTTTTAGCTCACCTGGCCCAAAGGGCCAAGTGAGCTTTTCTCATCACTTGGCGTCCGTCGTCGTCCATCTGGTTAACTTTTACAATAATCTTCTCCTCTGAAACCACTGGGCCAAATTTAACCAAACTTGGCCACAATCATCATTAGGGTATCTAGTTTAAAAAATTTGTCCGATGACCCCGCCAACCAACCATGGCTAAAAATAGAACATAGGGGTAAAATGTAGATTTTTGCTTATATCTCTGAAACCAAAGCATTTAGAGTAAATCTGACATAGGGTAAAACTGATTATTAGGTCAAGATCTATCTGCTGTGAAATTTTCAGACAAATCTGACAACCTGTTGTTGGGTTGCTGCCCCTGAATTGGTAATTTTAAGGAAATTTTGCCGTTTTTGGTTATTATCTTGAATATTATTATAGATAGAGATAAACTGTAAACAGCAATAATGTTCAGCAAAGTAAGATCTACAAATAAGTCAACTTGACCAAAATGGTCAGTTGACCCCTTAAGGAGTAATTGCCCTTTATAGTCAATTTTTAACCATTTTTCGTAAATTTTTGTAATCTTTTACAAAAATCTTCTCCTCTGAAACTACTGAGACAAATTTAACCAAACTTGTCCATAATCATCATTAGGGTATTTAGTTTAAAAAATGTGTCTGATGACCCCGCCCGCGAACCAAGATGGCAGACATGGCTAAAAAATAGTACATAGGGTAAAATGCAGTTTTTGGCTCATATCTCTGAAACCAAAGCATTTAGAGCAAATCTGACAGGATAAAATTGTTCATTATGTCAAGTTCTATCTGCCCTGAAATTTTCAGACCAATCAGGCAACACTTTGTTGGGTTGCTGCCCCTGAATTGGTAATTTAAAGAACATTTTGCAGCTTTTGGTTATTATCTTGAATATTATTATAGATAAAGATAAACTGTAAACAGCAATAATGTACAGCAAAGTAAGATCTACAAATAAGTCAACATGACCAAAATTGTCAATTGACCCCTTAAGGAGTTATTGCCCTTTATAGTCAATTTTTTACAATTTTCATAAATTTTGTAAATTTTTGTAAATTTTAAAGTAACTACTGCGCCAAGTTCATTATAGATAGAGATAATTGTAAGCAGCAAGAATGTTCAGTAAAGTAAAATCTACAAACACATCACCAACACCAAAACACAATTTTGTCATGAATCCATCTGTGTCCTTGGTTTAATATGCACATAGACCAAGGTGAGCGACACAGGCTCTTTAGAGCCTCTAGTTTAAATTATGACTGCTTTGGATGATGCATTATTCCTATTAAAGCTGAAAAGATAGCTTTAAAAGATGGCAACTATCATGATGGAATTATACTTTGATTGCACCTTGTTCTTGATGCATTAATTATCTCATTTACCATTTCAGTACAAACATGCTGTGTATGTACAAACTTGTAAATTGTTTGCAGACTTGGAAAGACTAAGACAGGAAAGAGAAGCTAAAGACATGCATGAAAGGTAAAAATACTCTGGAAATAATTAGCTGTGCATTTATAAAGATTTGCTACTACTTGTCCAGAGACACAGATATCCTCCTTTGATTTCGTTGTCTACAAATATAGTCCCTAGTGTGGACAGTGTATAACTTGCAAATTATTTTCATACACTTTCAAAATTTATTTCTTTATCTTTAATGCTTTAAATAGTAAGTAGGGGAGGGGGGAGGATGAAATCACATGTCAAAAACTCAAAAAGTGTGGGTCAGGAATTTTAAGGTAAAGTAGTGATTATGCCCAGTTGTAAAAGGTAAAAAATTAGTATGTCTGATGCTGCCAAATTATTAATGGACCCCTAACAGAAAATTGTCCATATTTTGAGTTAAAGCGGATGAAGTTTTCTAAAATTTTGATATGATTTGTCCCAAAAGTACATTTAGTACACTACACTATAAAAACTTTTTTTGAGATAAAGGAGATGTGATTTTTTAATTTGCAATTATTGTCTCAGGCCTAAGAGATGATTATTCAGTAAATGTAGATTATGTACTTCCCTGAATGGTTTTTTGGTACCAATTTGCCAAATTTGTCTATTATCTTGAAAATCGCTATAAATACAGAAATTCTGACATAGGCAGAAAAGTTCAGAATGTTGAGATCTACCTGCTATCCAATAACGTCAAAACTGTCAGATGACTTCTTATAGGAGTTATTGCCCTCAAATTTTTTCAATGTTTAAATACATCCATCTGAGATGGGATGTATTATGGTATACCATTGTCCATCTGTCAATCTTTCCGTCCATCCGTCTGTCATCAACTCTTCGGGGAATAACTCAAAAACGCTTTTACCAATTTTCATGAAACTTTGGTGAATTATTTATTATTACTGATGTAAGCTTCTGTTCAATTTTTACCAATTTTAGATTTTGTTTCTGAGTTATGGGATTTCATTCATAAAAAAACGGGGGATATTCCAGTTTTCTGACTTTAACTCAAAAATGCTTTTGAGCAATTTTCATTTTTCAAGAAACTTTGGTGAATTGTTCATATTCCCTTTCGATTTTGTTAAAATTTCTAATATGACATTGCAGAGTTATGGAACTTTATTCGTTAAAAAATCGTCAGAAATTGTCCATTTTTCACGCTTTCTTTCAAAAATTGTGTTGTAAACAAGAACAAAAATATATATAGGTGAAAATCAAGGACACAAACTCAGTTAAACTTGAGATAGCCTTAATAGTGCCAAGTGATTCATGTTTTGTGTCAATGGCAATGGATACCACTGTGTGTGCATGTTTATTTTGTGCTTTTTTTTGGGGGGGGGGGGGAAGAGGGAGGGGTCTATTTGAGCAGTGCTCACAGTATTTCTAGTTGATCATAGAAAGTCATTTAAAGCATTTAGACAAGCTATAAGGGCAACAGGCATATCAAGCGCCCATGGTGCAGCTCTTTATTGCCTATTGTTTTGAAAACTATAATAGATAGAGAAAATTTCTTTAAGAAAAATGATCAGATCAGAAAGACCAGATCTACAAATAAGTAAACATGGCTGAAATTGTCAGACAACACCTTATTGGAGTTATTACAATACATCCGTACGTCCCAAAATTGGTTTCCGTTCTCTAACTTTAGTTTTCCTCAACCAAATGTTATCAAACTTATGCAAAATGCTTATTACTACAAAACACAGATCAAGTTTGAATTTTGGTGGCGTCACTTTAACCGTTCTAGAGTTATACCCCTTTATAAATGGAAAAATTGCAAAATTTTTCATTTCCGTTCTCTAACTTAAGTTTGCCTCAACCAAATGTTATGAAACTTATACACAATGCTTATTACCACAATACACAGATCAAGTTTGAATTTTGGTGGCGTCACTTTTACTGTTCTAGAGTTACTCCCCTTTACATTTTTTTTCTAAAAATATCAATGATGTCATTGTTCAAGTAATTTTTAAAATTGGAGTTATCTTCCTTTGTCCATGATTATAGTTGAATCAACTTCAATCAATGCTTTATACAATGCAATGTTTAATTTTGCATTCCACTGATAAAACACAGATCAAGTTGAATTTGGGTAGTGTCACTTTAACCATTATTGAGTTATGCCCCTTTATAAATCGAAAAAATTGCAAAATTTTCAGTTTCTGTTCTGCAACTTAACTTTGCCCCAACCAAACATGAAACCTATACACAATACTTATGACCACAAAACTAAGATCAAGTACAAATTAGGGTAGCGTCACTTTTATTGTTCTTGAGTTATGTCCCTTTATAATGTTGTATGCAAGCGGGGGCATCATCTGTGTCCATATTGACACATTCTCCATTTATTTTTATACGGCCGCAAAAAAATTTTGCGGTCGTATATTGGTATGACTTTGGCGTCGTCGTCGTCGTCATCGTCCAGCGTCGTTCGAAGACACATTGGTTTTTTGCACTCTAACTTTAGTTTAAGTGAATGGATCTCTATGAAATTTCACCATAAGGTTCAATACCACAAAAGGAAGGTTGGGATTGATTTTGGGGGTTATGGTACTAACAGTTAAGGAATTAGGGGCCAAAAATAAGCATTTTTGTAACTTCCAGACATAACTTGTGTGTTAGTGTATGGATCTCTCTGACATTGTACCACAAGGTTCCATATCACACAGGGAATGCTGGGATTAATTTTGGGGGTAATTACCTCAAAATATTAGGAATTAGGGGCAAAAAAAGGGGCAAAAAACAAGCATTTTTCTAGTTTCATGACAATAACTTGTGTGTAAGTGTATGGATCTTTCTGAAATTGTACTACAAGGTTCCATATCACAAAGGGAAAGCTGGAATTGAGTTTGGGGGTAATTGCCCAAAACATTTAGGAATAAGGGGCCAAAAAGGGGCCAAAAATAAGCATTTTTCTAGTTTCCAGACAATAACTTGTGTTCAAGTGTATGGATCTCTCTGAAATTGTACCACAATGTTCCATATCACACAGGGAATGCTGGGATTGATTTTGGGGTTAATTGCCTCAAAATATTAGGAAATAGGGGCCAAAAAGGGGCAAAAAACAAGCATTTTTCTAGTTTCATGATAATAACTTGTGTATAAGTGTATGGATCTTTCTGAAATTGTACTACAAGGTTCCATATCACAAAGGGAAAGCTGGAATTGAGTTTGGGGGTAATTGCCCAAAATGTTTAGGAATAAGGGGCCAAAAATAAGCATTTTTTTAGTTTCCAGACAATAACTTGTGTTCAAGTGTATGGATCTCTCTGAAATTGTACTGCAAGGTACCATACCACAAAGGGAAAGCTGGGATTGAGTTTTGGGGTGATGAATCATAAGGGGGTTCAAAAAATTTGGGGGGGGAGGGATTTTTTTTTTTTTTCCTTTTTTTCTTTTAAAATTTTCCATTTTAAGTTGGTTATTTCTGTTTTATATTTAAAAGCAAATAATAATGATATGGTAGGAGATACACACCAAACATGATGTGTAAATTATTATATAATAAGTATTGTGCAATAGCAAGAAATTTTCAATTGCACAGTATTGCACAATAGCAAGAAATCTGCAATTGCACAGTATTGCGCAATAGCAAGAAATCTTCAATTGCACAGTATTGTGCAATAGCAAGAAATATCCAATAGCACAATATTGCGCAATAGCAAGAAATTGTCAATTGTACAGTATTGCGCAATAGCAAGAAATATTCAATTGCACAGTATTGTGCAAAAGAAGATACTTCGTATAAATTGCTTATTTCTTGACCAATTTCAATGGGGTTTTATTCTTGAATTCTTGGGGTTCTTTAATATGCTGATTCTAACCGTGTATTAAGTTTTTGGATTTTGGGCCCCGTTTTTAAATTGGTCCACATTGAGGTCCAAAGGGTCCAAAAATAAACTTTGTTTGATTTCATCAAAAATTGAATTATTTGGGTTCTTTGATATGCCGAATCTAACCGTGTATTTAGATTCTTAATTTTTTGTTCCGTTTTCAAATTGGTCTACATTAAGGTCCAAAGGGTCCAAAATTAAACTTAGTTTGATTTTTACAAAAATTGAATTCTTAGGGTTCTTTGATATGCTGAATCTAAACATGTATTTAGATTTTTGATTATGGGCCCAGTTTTCAAGTTGGTCCAAATCGGGGTCCAAAATTAAACTTTGTTTGATTTCAACCAAAATTGAATATATGGGGTTCTTTGATATACTGAATCTAACCATGTATTAAATTTTTGATTTTTGGGCCCCATTATCAACTTTGTCCACATTGAGGTCAAAAGGGTCCAAAATTAAACTTTGTTTGATTTCATCAAAAATTGAATTCTTGGGGTTCTTTGATATGCTGAATCTAACCATGTATTTAGATTTTGGATATTGGACCATAATAGGTGAATGTCCAATTTAAAATTTTTAAGTTCTTAGACCACATTCATTCTGTGTCAGAAACCTATGCTGTGTCAAATATTTAATCACAATCCAAATTCAGAGCTGTATCAAGCTTGAATGTTGTGTCCATACTTGCCCCAACTGTTCAGGGTTCAACCTCTGCGGTCGTATCAAGCTGCGCCCTGCGGAGCATTTTATTAACTATATAATGTTCATTTGGCTGGTATTTTCTGATTTCAACTTTAAGCTCTCTTATCATACAATTTGCATTTGTATATATATATATATTTCCCTGCTATTATGATTAACATATTCAAAAGGAAACTAGTTTAAGGCCAAGAAAAATGTGTTTCTTTGGTAGTGTAATGCTCACAAAATATTGTTTCAATTTTAGTGAAAAAGATTCTCATAGAAGATGTGTCATTGGACACTCAAAAAAACACTTCATTTTTTTCTTAAGAAACCTTCAAAAATGTGTAAAGCTTTGAACCTTTTAAGTTTAAGTTTAACTAATAATATTTCTATATATAGTATATCCTCCAATTGCAAGAATTTCTCTGTTGACAGTTGTACCTTTCTGTTTATAAGATCTTTGTATACAAGAAAGTATAAGTTACAATAATATTATTATTCTAGGCAAAAATTTGT